TACTGTGTTGTTAACCTTAACAGCTTCCTTGGTCTATGTGTCTTTGTCTTGACCAAGTGGACCAGCCAAGCTTAGAGGGCATCATCCATTGCAGCATCTTGTTATGATTCAGATGTTCTCGGTGAGGCACAACAAAGCTTCCTGCTTGGGGCTCAGAATTGTTCCTCGGGGCGATCGAGCCAAATGGACCACCGAGCTCAGTCGCTGTCGTGGATCGCAGAGGATGGTTGCACTCCCGGAATGAGATCGCACGGGCACTGGACGCTGCTTAGATGCTTGTTCGCGACAGCTCGATGCGAGGTCGCGGCCATGATCTCCCGCTATCTTTGTCGCAACCTGTCCGTTCTTGCCCCACCAAGGCATGGCTTATCCGTCAGTCGGCATCGATTCGAGGTTGCAGCTGCCGGGGATCGAGTGCAGCAGCAAGCTTTGGGACATGGCGTGGACCCCGTGAGGCCCATTTCGCATCGTCTTGTCCCTTAAGCACCATCATCAAGGGCTCTTTTGTGCGTCAAGTGGCTTTCACTCCCTCCCCCTCCTCTGATCCAGTGGTAGAGCGGAAATGTTCTGTTCTAAGTTTGATTCTGTTGGAGAAATATACTCCATTCCTCCTCAAAGTAGAGAGGCATACCCTAGTGGCAGGCATGTCTCTGTTCCTCCCTCCTTTACATGCTACCAAGGCATCAAGCCTACTGGGTTTTCATGGCTGCTGAAATGAGAGAGAGGTGATGGAAAGGAGAAACATCATCGATGGTTTCACCACCTGCTGACTCCACCATGTATCCCTGCAAATTATAAAGCCATTCATGGGCTGCTCTGTGGAGCGAGTGAGCTCATCAATGGGAACAAAGAAGGGAAGGGCTGTGCTCCATTGGGTGGTCTTCTTCTGGACCTTGGGCTTTGCATCTGCTTTGCTTTCCCCTAAAGGTGTTAACTTTGAAGGTAGAACATGCACCATGCCTCTTCCCTTTCCAATCTCTCTATGGATGAAAGTCTTGATTTTTAATTTGTTTTGCAGTGCAAGCTCTAATGGACATAAAAGCATCACTCAAGGATCCTCATGGTGTTCTTGGGAATTGGGACAGGGACTCTGTTGATCCATGCAGCTGGAGTATGGTCTCATGCTCACCTGAAAATCTGGTCATTGGCCTGTGAGTATCACTTGGAAATAAATGTGGATTTTTCTTTCTCTCCTCCCTTGTAATACTTGTATGAGAATCTGAAGTCATTCTGATGATATAATTTTCACAGAGAAACTCCAAGCCAGAATATGTCTGGAACACTTTCTCCAAGCATTGGCAACTTGACAAATCTTGAGTTTGTGTAAGCAATTTCTTGATAAGTGCTTGGTCAAATAGGTCCTCACTAGTAGCTGATATTTGGATGCTTTTGTAGGCTCCTGCAGAATAACTACATCTCAGGATCAATACCACCAGAAATTGGGAAGCTTTCCAAGCTCCACAAGCTTGACCTCTCCAGCAACCACTTCCATGGTGAAATCCCTGCTTCACTGGGACACCTGAAGGGTCTTCAGTACCTGTAAGTTGTTTCTAAAGAAAAATGGAGTTAACCCACATTGTTTTGGTTAATCTTGAAAGGCCATAATAGAAGAAAGAAATGTTGTAGTTTCTAACTATTGGTTTACTTCCATGTTTTTTTTTGTTCTTTCTGTGGAATGAGAACAGAAGGCTAAATAATAACAGTCTCTCTGGTGCATTTCCTCTGGCTTTGGCAAGTATCACTGAACTCACTTTCCTGTAAGTTTGTCTATTTACTGTTTCATTTATATGAAAAATAATCTCTCTAATGAGATATTACTGTTAAAAAGATTTTTTTTTTACTTTTTGCTATTTTTATGCTTCAGGGATTTGTCTTTCAACAATTTTAGTGGCCCTATACCAAGGTTTTCTGCCAGGACATTTAGGTAAGTTTTTAATTTCCTGCTAAAAATGCATTTTCTTTTTTCTTCTTTGTTCCCGAGGGAATACCTAGCTGCAGTTATGTGATAACCCAAGTCTTTCTGCTTTGCTTTTACTGATACTCTTTCACTTTTTTTTTTTTGACTCTGATGGCATTCTTTCTCATCAATACTATGTCCATGCATCATAATAGCTCAAAAGTGCTACATTCTGCTAACTGATCTTTTTATTTTTTTATTTGTCTTTTTATTTTATGTTTTTGGCCATCAAAATCATGTATATGTTGAGTAGTTGACAGTAAAGAGGCAAACCATCATTTTTTCCCCCTCTCTTTAAACTTAAAATTTATTCATATGGCAGTGTAGAACTTTATCCATATGCACTCGCATACATATAATGTAATGCTCACCACAGTTTCTTAAGTTTTCCTGCAGCATTGTTGGAAATCCTTTAATTTGTCCAACTGGTTCAGAGCAAGAATGCTTTAACACAGTGCCAGTTCCTGTGCCAGTCTCCTTCAACAAAAATAATACTCACGGTAAATGCTCAACTTGCAGATTTCCAATTGAAATCTTTCCTTTCATGTGTCATAGCATGAAGTCATGAACCTTAAGCGGCATTTAACTTGGCTTAAGTGTATAATAATTAATCTTTTCCATACAATTCTATCGACATAATCTTCAAAGCCTTCTCCCATCAACATGGGAGTAACACTAAAGTAAAAATTAGGCCATCGAGGAACCGCACTACAAACTTAACAATCTATTTTGTAATTGGAAAGTTCTATTTCAAGTCCAGATTTAAGCCCATAAATCTTTAAGAAAACCCTTTAAAAAAGAACTCATGAAGTGTAAGCAAGAAGAAAATAATAAAGCTTCCTACAAAATTGCACCAATGAATCATGAACAATCTCAAACAACTTACTGTGAGATTTGGTTTATGTCATTGTTTTTCCATTAATTTTGCTCAATACTGAATGAAAGTGACAGGGAAGCTTGCAAGCAAATAAAATTTCTCTGTTGCACGCTACACCAAAGGACTCAACTTGGAAGTTGAAGTATTTATCCTGCAGATCTATCAGATAGCACTCAACAAATCAGACTATTTAGAAAATAAGTAAACTCTGTAGTTCTTCTCCCTCTCCGCTCCAGATCTTCAGTCTCAGCCTTCATTTGCTTTCATCTTCAGGTTCCTCCTTTTTTAATCCTAATTCTTCCCTGAAACTAAGCCTCCTTTACACTCGTAAGCAAGAAATCTTGTTCCCTTTTTAGTTCATGGTTGTTCCTCTTTTAACTCTAATCTTATACTTGAAGGAGCTTTTCTTATACTGCCTCATAATTTTCCTTCCAAAACAGATACTGCCTTGTGAATTATTTTGTTGGGTAACCAAGATTATTTCCTGGATGTATCAATCACCATGCATAGAGCTTTTTCTTGCTTCTACATAAATTTTATTACACTTAGTCTCATGTAATTGACTGATGACTTGAATTTTATTAAGGTGTTCCAACTGCAAGAAGGCCAAAAAGTCACAAAGTTATTGCATTTGTGTCTTGCCTTGGATGTATATGTGCTGTTAGCCTTGCCTTTGGTTTTTTTCTTTGGTGGAGGGAAAGGCATAATCAACAAATATTGTTCGATGTCAATGGTAAGCAACATGCAAGATACCAGTGATAACATGAATCCTTATGTGCTATACATAGAATCATATCAGTGTAATCCTGAGCACAATGCCTTTGACTATTTGCTCTAATAACCATCATATCATTTTTCAGACCAACACAATGAAGGATTATGCCTTGGAAATCTGAAAAGATTCCATTTTAGGGAGCTTCAAATTGCAACCAATAATTTCAGCAGCAAAAACATACTGGGAAAAGGCGGGTTTGGAAATGTCTACAAGGGGAAGCTGCAAGATGGAACCTTAGTGGCTGTCAAAAGGCTCAAAGATGGAAATGCTGCAGGTGGAGAGATACAGTTCCAAACTGAAGTTGAGATGATAAGCTTAGCAGTCCACAGAAACCTCCTTAAGCTATGGGGTTACTGCATGACTGCTACAGAGAGGCTTCTTGTTTATCCATACATGTCCAATGGAAGTGTTGCTTCTCGACTCAAAGGTACATCTCGATCAATAAACTTCTTGGAGTTGCCTTTTTTTTATATAGTAGTAACCATTTGTGGTCAAGAACAAAGGAATATAAGCCTTTGCAGTACACTCTCAAATGATGTTAGAGTTTATTTTTCAAGGGCTATCACGGGTATGCTTATTCTGTCATTTGTAGTTGAATCTTCTAAACTAAATGATGGAGGAAGAAATCATCATAAACTAGGCTTAGTCTCAAAGCAAGTAGAATTTCTGATCAAAATTTAAGGGCTTATGCATTGATCTTGCTACACTTTGCACAATCAAATCAAGAACAGCAACTCCTAGAAGGAATTTAAGTTTTTTTTCTAGCATGCAGAAGGCTGTATAAAATGTTTTTCTTAGCCTGAACACATAACAGGACATTCAAATTTACTTGTTACTCAACTTATGCAGCAAAACCAACACTGGACTGGAGTACAAGAAAAAGAATTGCTCTCGGAGCTGCAAGAGGCCTTCTCTATCTGCACGAGCAGTGTGATCCTAAGATCATCCATAGAGATGTAAAGGCTGCCAACATCTTGCTTGATGACTACTGCGAGGCCGTAGTAGGAGACTTTGGCCTGGCAAAGCTTCTGGATCACAGGGACTCTCATGTCACAACAGCTGTTCGAGGAACCGTGGGGCACATCGCCCCAGAGTATCTATCAACGGGGCAGTCCTCCGAGAAAACTGATGTCTTTGGCTTCGGAGTTCTCCTCCTCGAACTCATTACTGGCTTGAGAGCTCTGGAGTTTGGAAAGGCAGCAAACCAGAAAAGTGCCATGCTTGACTGGGTAAAACCACAACACCTAATGTTTTGAAAGCAACATATACAGATGATTTGAATCGCAATTCACTGACATAAAGTGCTTCTTTCAATCAATCAGGTAAGAGAAGTCCACAGAGAGAAGCTTGATATGATTGTGGACAAGGATCTGAAGAACAGCTACGACCAGGGTGAGCTTGAGGAGATGGTGCAGGTAGCTCTCTTGTGCACACAGTATCTCCCGGGCGACAGGCCTAAAATGTCTGAGGTGGTCCGGATGCTTGAAGCTGATGGCTTCGCGGAGAGAAGGGAAGTCTCTCATGGAGTTGCTGCTCGCAAAATCGAGGTGTCTGAGTTCTCCTCAGAGCACTATTCCGACCTGACTGATGACTCCTCATTGCTGATCCAAGCAACGGAGCTCTCTGGTCCAAGATGATGATTTTCACGGCATGAAGCGACCCCATCTTTGAAGAACTTGTACAGCATATGATAGATCGAAATCTATTTGGTTGCAGAATGAGAGTGTACAAATGGTTGTATTTAACAGACGTACAAGAAAAGAACATGTGAGTTCCATCAGCCATGAGAATTCCACAGCAAATCTTCTTCTTGCATTCTGCAAGAAGAATATTCTGTTTGCCATTGTGCAGAACACATTAGATTACAAGAGACCAGCATCAAAGATCTTCCATTCATTTAGATTGACTCATAACCATTAAAAAAAGCTGGTCAGCTGGCATTGTTCCGAATAGATTGACAGCATCAAATGCAATTTGATAGGGATAAGCAGTGGTGTGCCAAATCCACCAACACAGGAATGGACATTAAAGGCCACCATGACAGCTGAGGGATACATGGCTGAGGTTTTGCTTGATTTGGATAAGGGTATGACTCCTCCACGTAGTCCTACAACTCATGGCCGACAAAAATCTCTGGAGTTCTTCCTTTTCTCTGGAAATTAAGCAGCAGAATTTATCTGGTTTGTTCTTTTTTTGTTGTTTCTAAAAATATATTTGATGGCCACAAAATTCAATTTTTATGGAAATTGAGATCCATGAGAAGCATGTGTTGGAGTCAGCAAAGCAACTGAAAGATGCATTCAATTATCGGCACCACGAGTCGACTGGGGCCCACGAGACACCCCACCGCAAGCCATGGCCCCACCAGGATCCAACGCCAGCCATAAGATCGGGACCGGGCCCTGTCAGCCGCTAACATCCTCCCACGTGTCATCCACTGGATTCTCTCAATCCCGAGTTAAGACAAGAACAGCAACCTGATTCCGGAAATCGCACAAGCGAACGAGAAGGGAGGAGTCGATCCCGTCGTAGACCAGCAGCTCGGATTCTTGCGTGACATGCTGAAGGTGGAGGAGAGCTCGGGTTGGGCGGCGCCGCGGACTTGCGAGTCGTGCCGGTCTGCGCCGTGCACGGTGTACTGCCGCGCCGACGCCGCGGCGCTGTGCGCCGCCTGCGACGCAAGCATCCACTCAGCCAACCTGCTCGCGCGCCGCCACCACCGCGTCCCCCTCCTCCCCGACCTGGCCGGCGGCGGCCTCGTCGTCAGGCCCGGTCTCAGCGCTGCCTACCACGTCGGCGTCCCGTCGGGCGCGGGCGACAAGGACGGCGACGAGGAGGCTGCTGCCTGGCTGCTGTTTGATGCTGTGAAGGGCGGCAGCGAGGGCGCCGGGGGCCTGTCGTTCGCCGAGGAGGCCGACGAGTTTTTGGACCTTGTCGAGTACGATTCCAGTGAGAATGAGTGTGGCAGCGATCAGCAGCAGCTGCTGCAGGAGGCGCAGCAGTTCAGCCATGGGAAGAGCGAGGAGAGGGACCATTTGGTGCCAAATGAGCAGCATCAGCATAGCTTGCAGATGGAGTTTGATGCCTCCAATGGATTCAACTACTCTTCTTCCCTCAGCCACAGAGTGAGTTGTTGATTTCATCCTAAAGATCATATTGGTATCATTCCGTTCTTCTCCTAAATCAATTAACAGAAGAGATTTGATGGATCTTCATATTCCTTATATAGCTTATGTGTTGTTTACTGTCTCAAACTTTCAGATTTAAAGAGCTAAATCTGATGGGAAACTATTTGACTCTAATTATTTTCTGAAGACCATTTTTTATGGGATTTTTACTGCTGAAAATTTGTGTTTTTTTCTCCTTCTTTTCTAACTATTCTAATGATTTTTCTCAGATTTTTTACTTCCATTATGTGTCTTTGTTCTTATGACTTTGATGGTAATGATATGATCATTAAAATGGAAATAAAGATCCTTTCAATAAGGAATAATCATGTAATCAGCAAGAATACACACATTCTCCTACTAAATCTCTTCTGCCTTCCATGGTTTTGTTCTATATGGGGGCACTTCAGGTTCTTGCAGAAGATGTTGTCGCTACAAAGGTTGATGACTTCTTCTTCTTCTTCTTCCAATTTACATGTAGGTTTCTTTGTCATCCATGGATGCAAGTGTCGTACCAGACACTTCCATCGGAGCGCCCAAAGGAACCATGGATCTCTTCTCGGGCCACCATCCTCTTCAAGTTCAACCACAGCTCAATCTCATGGACAGAGAAGCCAGAGTGCTTAGATACAGGGAGAAGAGGAAGACGAGGAGGTTTGAGAAGACCATAAGGTATGCATCGAGAAAGGCGTATGCTGAAACGAGGCCACGAATCAAAGGCCGGTTTGCGAAGAAGTCGGATGTAGAGCTCGAAGTGGATCAGATGTTCTCCACTGCTGCTGTGTTAGCTAATTCAAGGTTTGGTGTCGTCCCATCGTTTTAAGGACTTGTGTAAGAAACTATGATGCCACATTGGATAGATTGTATGATGATGACTCACTTTCCAGGTGTTAAGATCGTCCACATGTTTAACCCACTTTGGTAAGAATCTTTCCTGAGATGCATATGTTTCCACGTTGGAATAAACAATTAGATTTACTCCAACAATTAGATTTTCGGTTAGTTCGATGTCAACTCTTCGATATATTTTTTAATTTTCGACACTAACTCTTCGATATATTTTTTTTGCTAAAAGCATTCTTCGATATATTTTTTGCTAAAAGAATTCTTCGATAGACGTAATCCTTTGTATAGACGTCGAAGCATCCGAACACTAAGATAGAATAAGCCCCCTAATAAACCCAAAGTATCGATCGCAATACGATAAGATGATATTCCTCGGAAAACAAAAGGATCAAAATCTTCATGCTGGACTTCAAATATTAGTGTTCGAAATTTAAGACAATACAAACCTGTAACATGAAATGTGTCAAAACTAAAGCAAGCCAACCTTGAGAGAAATAAGAAATAAATGAATTCCAAAGATGTTAGGCAAATCCAAAGACCTCACAGAATATTACTTTGTCTCAATACAATACATTTGATCTACAGATACCAAAAGAACAAAAAACAAAAGAGACCATCACAATTAGCAAATGTTTTCGATCAATTCTGTCCAGTTGAGAAAAACTAATTTTTGATCACTAGTTTTTTTCTGCACTAAGAACATAACTTTCTCAACAACTACACTGCTCTTTTTCCAGCACCAAGTGAATTCAATCCCTGTGGTTGAAAAAATATGTATTATAGTGAGTTTGCCAAGAGTTCAAAAAAGGAAGTCTGTCAAACTGTAAGTACACTAGCAAACAAGTAAAATCCCAATTCGTCGCGACATCCACTAAGCCGCAAGATTAGAGATCTTTAACCACTGGTTAAGTCTGAACCAGAACCCTACATTATCTAAATGACTCGCTAATTCCTGAGGCATGCTTGATCTATGTATACATAAATACATGGAACTGATTGGCTGTCTTGACCAACAAGAGCATTTTATTGTCTTGACCTGGTGGCCGCCACTGCTTATTTCCAGTCTCAACTTCAATAGTGCCCTCTGTATCCCTGGACAAACTTCATTTTGAACAAGAAAATTGATGAGCAATGAACAGAAACCAGGGACAGAGATTACATCTGGTCAAACTGGGTTGCCGGCCACCACATTTATATGGAAGTATTGCTACAGCCCAACTGAGGATATCAATGCTCGCATTGGGAGCTGCATCTGATTAGTGCACCACCAAAACAGAAGAATTAACTTTGCATGTAAAACATTTGTGTGCAGTAGCCGTCGAGGGAACTGGGAGTCAGAAAATCATGTCAGTTGAAAAAATATGGTGAATCCAATACGTCTTTCAGATTGAAATCTCCCCGTTCTGGTAGTTCTGGGAAAGTTAATGTAGGGAAGGCTATTTGAAAACTCTCCAGTAACTGCAAAATGCAGAGTCATGTCAAGTATCGCCCATGACAAGAATTACATGAATATTAAGAGAAGTTACTTTAAAGAGATCAACAATATGAAATTAGTGTTTTGATTTTCACATTTGGTTGCAAGTTTCACAAAGCAGCCCCGCATCACAAGGGTGAATCATGACATGCAGAATTAGAAGATCAGCACTAGAAGGGTGAATCACGTTGACGTTAGTGACATGGTACAGGGAAAAGGGTATTACATTTTCCAATATGGGTTTCTCATAGAGTTCCACAAACTTCTCCCGAAGAATTCTGTTCATCTGATCAACATCACATGCATGAGTCCAGTATGAATCATGGACTCCTGCAATAGAATAAAAAAAATGAGATTTTAAGGCAACTGTTCCTTGAATATCATATACTACAAGACAATAAGAACCTGCAAAAATTAATCCTGCTTTTCTGCAGGCGACTGCAGTCATCATCATATGAGAACCATCAAGGGAGTGGACAAAGTTTGGGGGGAATGCTGTTCTTTGCCGTCTCACCATCACCTACATAAAAGGGAATAGAAGGTAAAAGCTGAACACCTGAAATCTTGATATTGAATCACAGAAATTGCTCGTGTTAGGAATATAAACTCCAGCCATAAAAGAAAGGAAGATGAAAAAGAAGAGCACCAGACCTTATCGGTCTCCCTCTGTAAGGTCAATACTTGAAGAGATGTCTTAACCTGGGAAAGAAATTACAAAGTTATTAGAGAGAGGATGTCAAACAAAGAATAGTGGGATACAAGTTCAATAGCTTCAAATTTGACTGACAATATGCTTTCCCAATGCACGATATGGCTGAACCACTGGAAGTCCAAGTGGCGTAGTCCACCTAACAGAATGGTTTTCTGTAGCAATTACCTGTGGAACATGCCAACTTAGTTCATTAACATATTATTATAAAAACTGTGGCTGCAATGAACTAGAAGCACAAACGATGAGATAACAGATGTTCCAGAGGAGGGAAAAAAAAACAAATCTTTGACTTCGTTTCAGATATCAGAGACCTGCAACTGGGGACCAGGATGTCTCAAGAAAGAAAAATGCTTCTCAAAAAAGAACATACATGTTTGAATCAGGGCAGAACGAAGTATAACCAAATGAATTTGCTTGCACTTAAGCTGAAACTCTCTAAAAGATCTTTTACATTGCCATATATTCGAAACAGTGGTGCTTTTCGATCTTAGCACAAGTACAGTATGACAGCAATTGCCCTCTCTACCATACTGATGACTTTATTATTTTCAAGTTTCCTAGTCAAGAAGAATCTCTAATCTTTATATGTCGTAAAAGGTATCACATGTGAATCCATTTGAGTTCCTACAAATATATTTGCAGAATAGACAATGGGATTAACTAATAAATACACACCTTTGCACAGTCACCAAGCCAGTTCATAATCTTCCGTGCAGCTTCAAACATCTCCTCTAATGCAGTCAAAGTGGTCTGTTCAAATGATTATAGACTCTTTAGCCAAATGTAGATTCCAAGAGGCCTGTACATTCAACTCAAACTACAAAGAGGTATAAAACAAAGCCTGGGGATAACAATGTTCTCTTTCTTACTCTGGCTGCATAACTTGAAGCACCAAATAGCTCTCTGTCATCAGCGGTAACACCCCGTTCCTTTAGTCTTTTTTTTATTTGCTCACGTGCTCCAATAAAAGTGACGCCATAAACAGAAGTCATGACAGTTTGCTTTACCAACTTCCTGTCCACCTTATTAAATAGGAACAAAATCACTATCAGGGAGAGTTCAACCTCAATCACATTGTTCCACAATTGAGATAAAAGCATATAAAAAACATTCAATTAATCATATATAATGTTTCCATTATGTATATTTTACATGTCATGATCCAACATCAACAGTCTTGTTGATTATGAATAAGAAATTTGATGATGAAATGTTTTACAGGTGTAACACCATCAAGATTTTCAACATAAAATAGAATTTGCAGTGAAGTCTATATTCCATCCAACCAGAGGACTATCACTTTATAGGCAAGCTGGGATATAAAACCTGATCAACTATGAGCCTTGCTAGTAAAGCATTTGGGTCTTCAGCAGGATCTTTCTGTGAATCTCTTCGCATGATGTCAAGAACCCTGCATCAAACATACAAATTTCATAAAGGATTTTTTGCAAACATGTTCAGGGGTAAAACAGAGTACAATAGCTACTAATCGAAAAAATGGAAGTATAAAACCATCAATTGATAAACATTTCCTGTAACACTTAAAATACACTGAGGCATAATAGTAGTTGCCTCAGTGCAGAAGGTTTAAGCAAAATGTGAAAGTTCAAGCAGTAGCAGTCTGCAACGAATGAACTAAGAGATGCTTAGATGAAATATATAAAACTACAAGGTTGGCAAAATATAGAAGACGGTTTAATGAAATAAATTAGAATAAACTAAAAGAAAAAGGAAAAACTAAAGGATAGAATGGTATTTATCTTAACTATTAGTTTGGCAAAAAAATGACAAGTTATTGCTGCATCAAGTAACAAACTTGGATATAAGCAACAGATTGCAACAACAAAGAAAAATCACCAGACTTTGTGATACATAATCTTGTAGACATGTTTGCTAGAAAGAATAAGTGACAATTTTATCTAACGAACTGGACCAGTTAAGCATACCCGCATGCAGATCATCATAAATATAGTTGCTCTATTCCTGCACAGCAGCCAAGCAGGCAACAAGAAACCACAAATTGCACAAACAAAGCAGCCAAATTGCATAAAATCATCACCAGCGTTTATTGCTATTAAGACTAACACATAATAATTAATAGGTAACTTTTTTCCTCTTCAATTACCAGCTGGCATCGAAGCAAGAGGAACACATTGTTCAACTACATCTGTTTTCTCATGTCATAAGATGTCTGAAATGCTTGAAAAATATCCTACTATGTGAAGTATTACTAAATCAAATCTACAGAATTTTAGCTGCATCAGATGCTGAACCACCTGCATACTTTTGAGGCACCATTGACACTTGACAACACTCCTAACAATAAACACTCCAACATAATGATTTTTTTGTCCAACCTTTATCCTTGGTATCAAATAAATAATGCAGCTGAGACAGACATTTTGGAAACTGAAACAATATACAATGAATGGAGAATTTGTTGTGCAATGGGTATTTCTGCAAATTCATTAACCTTTAAGCCAAAAATGATAAACCAAAAAAGTTGTTTACCTGTTGAAGAATTAATGAAGAAATAAAGACAAAATCAAAAAGTCGATGAAGGGGGAAATTTAAGGCAGTACCTAAGGTATGACGATCGTGGATTTATGAAAATAAAGGAGTTTCTAGTAATTATATTCATATGATCAAAGACATGTATGTAGCAATCACTAGCATAAATACAATAAGTGTCCAGTGAGTTTCCTGCTCAATAAAATTGCTTCAAAAAGAATCTTAAAGTCCTACAGATTTTCACTCGTAAAGGATCATCTTTCTAGTGATATCTAACATGAGGTTCCATGGCACCTGACTAGCTGACAAATTTATTGTGATTCATAAGAGTGGCATTGGACAAACGTTAAATTTGAGCAACAAGTGAAAAATCATAAGCCAAATGTTTGACAATACATCGGATTAAGATCAAACACATGAAGTGCAATTTCAGCAAACTAGAAAATGAAATATGAAAGCATACCTAGCAGCTATTCCTGAGTAAACATCTGCAGGCTTATCTCCTGCAACTAAGTTTACTGCGATGGCTCCCAACTGAATATACAAAAGTTCAATGAACATAAGTTAATTTCTTTTAGAGATTTACACATAACAATTTTGTGTGCTAATTTATATAAAGAGAAAGCAAACCATATCTCCAATGAAAGAAACACATGCAGACACTATTAGTTAAATAAATATAATCGTAATAGCATTATTAGATTGACAAGATATATGACTGCCCCTGATAGGTTATCTTTCTTCTTCTTTCCCTCAATGTGGAAATTTTTTGCTGAAAGGAAGAGATGAAAAAATTAAGAATGTACCGAGAAAGAACTTCATGACCAATAAGAGAAGGAAAAACGAAAGGCGAGCATACAAAAGTCTTCAACAAGTAAGACCACAACAAAGTAAGAAATAAAGTTCAGCAATCATAACCTAGTAAAATCAACAAAGCGAGGCACCTTATGTTGACAAATTGTCACGGACAAAGTTCTAAACAACCTGTTTGAAGTAATACTTGTGTATGTCCGTGTCTTTCTGTTTGTTCATGCTTTGCACAGTATGCAGAGAGACGACCGAAGGCTTAATAGTCTCATTTTAATTGGGTTTACTGGCCGCTTTAGGCTTGTAAATAAAGGTTATGTCATGTGGACACGTGTGAGAGATTTTCAGTCTATAATGGACCATTTTGACCCTTTGTTATGCAACTGTTCTGAGCTTGTAAAGTTTGTTTGTAATTTGCATTGTCTATGAAGTGTTTTCGGAAATGTTTACTTGTTGATCCCGAGTGAGGTGTTTTCTCTAACCCGTTTTCTCTTTTGTGGGTCATAAGGGACCAAGGGAGATTTCGGGGAGGCTGACCTTTGCGGACGGACATACAAGGGTGCCGCACAACTTAGGCAAAACCAGCTAAGTCCGTGACAAAATGGTGACAAAATAAATTCCTCATAAATCAGAAAAAAATCTAGCATGTGGCATGGCAAGCCAAAGAATCATGCTGCACCTTGCATGTGTCATATCAGAGGTACAATAAGCTTAGATTGTCTATAGTTTCATATATGCAGTAAATTTTGTTTAATTGATGTTAAAACACATTGCTCCGATCACAAAAAAGATCCAGATATTCTTGACATCTTATTTTAATAAATCAAGAAAGAACAGAATATAAAGCTGGAAGCAACAAAAATGAGGGATTTCATTCCAAAATCTCCACATTGTGACATTACTATTCATGCCTTCCAAAATAACATCTACCCTCATTTTTCAACCTAATAATGTCCACTACGAGGAAAACATACAAGAATATACTTGCTTTTGACCATTGGTAAGTTTCTAAAGAAATTAAATGTCCCCTACTTCATTCCACCTCAACCAATCATCTCCCCTCATTTATCCTAATTCATTTGGTGCTTTCCATTTTAATCAATGTTGTCTAAGGCGCTAGATGCTAAAAGAAGTTAGGGTTCCAAAACACTCAAGATGCTAAGTGCTCATCCAAACGAAGCTAAGCACTCGTCAATATAAAAATTAAATAAGGAGAAAACAATCATTAAAATAAAAATTAAACAATACCTTAGTTCCATATTATTTCATATTCAATAATATCACCACTAAAACATCAAATAAAATTATTTAATCATCTATAAAGTACCACATTGTCCAAATCTAACAACAAGAATAACAATCCTAAAACTATATTTGCCATGAGTTTGATTTAAGATCCTAAAACTGCAATGACAATTTTAGCAATGACAAATTCAATCCTTTAAACAATTCATAAGTTATTAACTTATTATTAACAAAAATTAACTATTATTAAAAATAATTAGCATTACTACCAAATTAAAGAGGTGGTCAGATGGAACTGTGTCAAGGAGGGGCTATTGGGGGAGAAGCACAAAGGGAGAGGTAGGGAGGAGAAGAAAGAGGGAGAGGGAGAGAGACATTGAGAGAGAAGAGAGATAGAGAGAGAGTGCAAGCAACACGAGGGGGGTATCGGGGAGGCTTGGCAGGGGACAAGCGATGACTCTTAGAGAGAATCATCAAGAGAGAGACAAGGGGGAAACAGTGTGAGTGGCGAATGAGAAGGAGGATGTCCAATGGAGACATAGTAGAGAGCAAGGATTATAATTTCGTATCGTACCAGAGTTTCAATCTCAACGTAGTATAGTACGATACGAGCGTACCGAACGGTATGCTTCGGTGTATCATTCAAGATATATATATAAAAAAGGCGACGTCGTCTCGTTTCTTCTCCCCACGCGGGGAGAAGAATTTATATATATATATATATATATATATATATATATAAAATAAAAATGTTAAAAAATAATAAAAAAGGGCAATGGCATCGAGGTGACATCACCTCATTTCTTCTCCCCCACACAGAGAGGTTTCTTCTCTAGTTTCTTCTCCCTACGCTCGAGGTTTCCTCTCCCACGCGGGGAGAAGAAATCAAGCATTCTCCCCGCAAAGCCTCAGCGACGTCGCCGAATCTTCTTCTCCCCGCGCGGATGAGAAGTCGACGACAACGACGAGGCCTCGTCGCCTCAGACAAGGAGGAGGCAACATCTCATATGCGGCGTCCAACGAGGGAGGGAGACGACGGATCGGGATCGTCAAGGGAGAGCGACGTCAAATCTTCAAGTTCTCCTTATTCTTCTCTTCTTCCTTCTCCCTTGACTAATACCACCCAGTAACGAGCAGCGACAGTCGAAATCGATCGTTATCGATCGATTTCCGATGGTAACAGCCCCAACGACGGTACCGCCCGATAGCAAGCGATCCGCACATCGGTCTACTAGCGGACCGATACGTACCACCAAGTATGGGCGATATCATTCGAAATTAAAATCCTTGGTGTAGAGAGAGAGAGAGAGAGAGAGAGAGAGAGAGAGAGAGGAGGGTGCAAGTGGCAAGAGGAGGGTGCTGTGGGGTGAGACAAGGGCCAATTATGGAGGATTCAAAATGAAACTTTCCGTAAAGAAAATCTAAAGACAAAAACCAATTAGTTGCAGCCAATGCAGATATAACTTGTAATTTAAAACTACTCAAATATCCTTTATTCAATAAAATAAAAAAATCTTGAAATATAAAAAGTTAAAATCAAGATATCCTGAAACAATGTATTTAACTTTCAGGTGATATTTTATTTAGTAATGTTTGACAGTTAAATGATAGTTGAAACAATATTAAAAGGTATATAGATGTATCATATATGTACTCTCCATATTGACAACATCATGTTCTTGCATTTTGATTGTTCACTCTGTTAAAATCAATCATTTCACCAGCAAAATATTATACAACAATGTAATTCATCATGACTAGCCGATACGAAAGAAAAAATTGTACCTTGTCTCTTCCCAAAGCAGCATAGTGTTGCAGACCATTACACGATCCATCCTGTGGAAAAAAAAGTCCAATCACCAATCTTCTGTACACATCATATTCAACATATACAAGAGCTACGAATATATTACTAAACAACTAATTTCCAGGATTACTAATTTCAAGTTCATAAAGAAAAACCAAAATCATTGAAGAAGTGGAGATATACATTGTAGTTGACACTTGACACATGAATTCTCTCCATGTGAAATCAGAATTTTATCAAAATCCAACAACATCGATGCAAGCCAATCTCAATTCTCAGCTGACATGCTTGATATATATTATTGGCTATAATTAGCTTGTTTCTCTTATTTACATACTTTTTTATCCACATACAGCTCACAAAGTATATCATTATAACCAACTCTGAGAATTGTAGTGTGAATATGATGTTGAACCTTTCTTAGTCTTCTCTACAAACTAAGAATTATGCTTCTCATTTCATGAAACCATTGCAACCTCTCTTGCCAAATGACCAAAAGGCCTGTGCCAATTTACTTTTAATCAAAAAAGAAAACTTAAGCAAGCTGCCTGACCACCATGATATTATGATTACATGCACCACCTATGACATGCTGTTATCTTAGCTGGCACAAAATGAAGCATCACCTTGAGGTACAATTCAACAAGCAATAAAATTTGTTCATTATGACTAATCAGTCTTTGTAAGACATTAAAACATTATCACAAGTTTTCTATTAGAAAATTTGTTTTCTGAAAGTGCCATTTTTCTTAGAAAAAGCCTCTTTCTTTATTTGAGCTAGCAAAAGTGTGCTACTCTTTTCACAGAGATAAACATGAAATATTTTTTACTATTTACAATTTAAAGCATGTTTTTTCTTTTAATTAACAAAAGGTTTGATAAAAAAAGGATCACATTCTAACATATAACCAGAATCTGATGTTGGACACCCTGATATTGTAACTTTTTGTTTAACCAATACCTAAATACATCAATCAAAGCTAGAGAATGTGAAACATCTAATTGCCATATCACAATGGCAAACATTTTGATCCATGCCAATGTTTACAGGCTTCCAAATGTTCAGCCTTCTCACAACCTTCTTGTTCATAGTTCATCAAAAATATTGTGCAGACCAGAGTCAAATATTGTGAGATAGCCCATCATTATGTATCGATCCAAAGAGGGCCAATATGTGGCCCAGCTGGTTTAGACAGCATCATACAGTAACAAAGAACCAGCCAATTTTACACAAATTGGGCTTCATTAAGAACAAGAAAGGAGAAGTGAGCACAACTGGTTCCAAGCGACCAAGAATATCAGCAAGACTGCAACAGTGTATAGTCTAATCCCCCTTCCTTTTTCTTTCTTTATTTACTTATTTTGTTTGCTCAAATCTTTGATCTGGACTATATAAAGCTAAACAATTTAGATTTGTACAAATTATGGAACAAATTTTGGAAATCATTTAAAATAAGCCAACAGCAATGTGAAATATGATCATTTAAAATAAGCCAACAATATAGCCTTGGACATTGGAGTTCTGTTCACTGCCCAAGTGATCAGGCACCGCAACATTCAAGTAGCTAATGTTCAACAGTTAATATAGCTCATATAAGTATAACTCACTTATGACCAAATGGCATCCTACCTCAGACAACTGAAAAATAGGGCAATGAGAACTAGTAGAATTAAGCTGGATCATCATCATCTGATTAACACAAACTTCAAATGCAAAGGGAACTGAAATGATAACTTTCAACTCACCTGATGCACAGGTATGTGCGAAATTGTAGTTTCTGGTGAAGAGCTCCGTAATGCCTCAGCAAGATTGATGCAAACTGCCAAGCACTGAAAGGGATCTTCAGCCCCTAGCCACCAACGTCTACCTTCAAGGGGTCTATCTGCAGAATCGAATATATCCTCCACATGATTCTCGGTAAATGCTAATCGGCCATCATATGACAACTTGTCCACTCCACCAGCATACAAATTTGCAAGGTGAATCTTTAACCAACGCAAGCCAGATTTCATCAGTGGTCGTCCCTCTGCAAATTCAAGAATTCCTCGACATAAATCAGAACCAAGATGGTTTAGATAGGGGTGCATGGGATAAGCACGTCCCCTAAAGTCCAGATTGTGAGGATAGTAGAATCCCTCCTCATCTTTCATTTTCCTAGCTACCTGCTCTCCAATAATGACAGATGACATCAAACTTTTGTCATAAAAGTTAATAAACTACAATATGTATGACTAATACAATGGTAAAAACTTCTTACAGCAAGTTTTAGTTCCACATCGCAACGTCGAGAATGTCTTTCACTATTTTCCTTCTTCACCGATCTCATCTTCCACTTCCACTTCCGAAGTTCAGACTCATCTTCTGTGTCTGGTTTCTCAGGGAGAGGGATCTGGGTGAAAAACACTTCAACAGAATAAGAGAGGCAATGACCTTTTTTTGTCACATACAATTAACCAAATACATAAATGTAGCACAATTCAGGAACCAACAATCCAGGCTTCTTAGACAAGAGATAAACTCACATCTTCACGATCAACCAAATCAGCAAGACGTCCTCCACTGGACCATATTCTGTCTACAATACTGAGCACCCTTTTGTTAACCCTCCATTTGGTACAGCCTAGTGTATCCAGAGCCTGGAAAGTGTACGTTTAATGCATTGGCAGAGTTTATGAAACATCATAGTAGTTCAAGGTCATAAACAGAAGATCCCATTCTACAGAAAGAAAGAAAAAAATCAAATCAAAAACCGCCAACAACTAGGTATAGCATGGTGTGTGTATCAGGCTTTCTGCAAACAGCAAATGCTATAAGAACCAGAACAAGGGCAAGCACATCCCTATACTGCAATGCCGCTTATCGAAGTCAGATGATAATAAGAAAAGAAGAAAATGGTCAGAAATGACAGAGTGATTTATTGGATTCAGCAACTTCAAAGGAAAAAAAGTTCCTAGGATGATGAATATTCATATCATACAAAAAATATCCATGAAAAACTAATCATCTGAGAGAATCAATTCTCAGAGAAACCAACAAAATATATTTGCAATAAAAACTAACCAATCAAGAAGATCAATTATTAGATCAAATCAACCAGAAAATTAAAAATGTTCAAAGAGACAGCAAATTGATGAAGAAGAGCCGGTAAAAGAACTGCTTTCTTAAGCTCTATGACTGTATGACATCAATGTTCAAGATCAACAGATCACCGATTGACAGTAAAAGAACTGCTTTCTTAAACTCTATGACATCAATGTTCAAGATCAACAGATCACCGATTGACAAACCTGAAAAACAGCTTGCATCTGCTTTTTTGGAGCCCTTTTAAGAGCCTCCCTTTGCTGTCTTGCTCCATGTATTCGCATTATATAAGATGGTAAAATTAAATGTGCTCCTCTGTCATATCTATAAAAAAAACCAAGACTTGGCATTAAAGACAATGGAAAATTCATCTTTTTGGTAAAAGATGAAAATACATTTAGTCAAATAGGAAGCGTGACTAACAAAATGACTAGTCATTTAGTCAAGTATTGCTGCACTGAAACCAGCTCATTTGGATAAGGCAGATAATTGATGGTAATTTTAGACATTGTGTCACACATAAAAGTCAAAAGGCAACATTGGACAACACCTAGCAGTTTAAAGGCCTCATACGTCTAAGACACATCAGCAAATATTTTACTAAGTAGACACCAGAATAATTGTCAGAATTATCATGTCAGAATTATCATGGAGCAATTCTATTTAATAGATCTAAAGCTTAAAGTTAAAGAACAGTAAAGGATGGTGTTGATCAATTTTAGAAGTCCAATTCAGGATAATATATACCCTTTCCAATTTAGTGGAGGCATCAACATTGGCATATAAGGAATAACCATGTGTCTTGCCTGCAAAAGAACAATTTACAAAGACCCATATGTTAAAAAGCCATCGAAAGAATATAAATTGAAATAAGACAAAATTTTCAAAAGTGTTGAACGCACAGTCCTATCTAGCCCTTGACGAACTAATGGATCACATTCAATAATACCATAACGCTTAGTCTTCCTGTTAACAAAATATTATTATCAGCTTATGCAAAATGAAGGATCCTGAACATATTAAACAAAAGAATAAAATAAGAATCTTACAGTTGTTCGCTTGAAACAATTCTAATCACGCGTCTAAATGCAGGCCGAATATCTGGAGGACCATCTGCTGACTGGCTAACAGGAGGTTGTATAAAAGCTGTCTCCATGAACAGCTCGATCAAGCGACTCCCAACCTAACAAAATTATTTCAAATACTAAAAAAATATAAAAATAAAAAATACCCAACTTTACAAGTTAAAAAAGGTTATACCTTGACCTGAGCGTCTTGACCCCATGGTTTGGAAACATCTTGCCCCCTCACTATCTTCCTTACTTGTTGAACCTTTTGCTTCTTCATCAAATCTGTAACCTTCTTCCTCAGAATTTGTTCCTCTTTGGTCACAGCACCACCTTCCACTTCATCACTTGTCTGATCTTTAGAAGTCTTTTTTCTTGTCTTCTCCAGAAACCTATGAATTCTAGCCTAATTCAAGCCAGAAAAAAAGTTATAACTAAAAAATAGATTAATATATTTTAATCAGGAGAAACAACTGCATATATATAAACAACAACAAAACAAGCTTACTGGAGTATCACTGACGTATAGTTTGGAATATATAAAATTCAAAAAAGATACAAATACACAATATTGAAGTAGTGAAATCAACATTTGAGAACCTACAACAGTGCAAATGAGGAATCCTAGAAATAAGCAAATTATAACTGATAGTTAAAACTATCGAGCTGTTATGCCACTAAGGAAGTTCCCAGTTCACCATGAAGACCCATGACATAAACAGCATATGACTATTTTGATTATGAGTGTTAAATATCAATAAATTGATCTACCAAAAAAAATGATATTCCTTGCCAAACTCAACTGCTTTAATTGAAAATTCAATAAGCACTCATAAAATTACTACTAAAGTAATAGCCATCGAAGAATGAGAATAAAATGAGAAGCTCATATTAAAAAAAGAAAAGACAGAAAGTTCCAAACTCCAGAATAGGAAAGCATCATCACTGCAAGATAACTAACTCTGATAATGAAGTGGAAACTGCATGAAGATACAGCAGGACCCTTATTAAAGTTTAAACCTTAAGAGAATTTTAGTTTCCAAACAGTTGTATGAGTTGATAAACATCAATTTCTTGACAAAGGAATCAACTTTTAGCTAGCACAAGATGTCGCGTGTCACATCATGCCAAGCCATGATAAATACTGAGATACAAGTGCCATATATTGTAGACTGCAGCTAAGCCTTTTTTTTGAAGTGTCCACAAGTGCAGTGGGCACACAGATATCATCACGATGACAACTTCATGAGACCCTGTGCCAACGATATGCAAACCCTTGTTCTTGATATTTAAATGATTTAAAAATGATTACTTCACTGCCCATGACATTTTCATACACCTTCCCTGATTATTTGATATTGGTGCAAAGCGATAGCTTGAAGTAGAAGCAGGAGATTGAGCAGCACTAAACTAGAATTGAAGTTTTACCTGGAATACGACTATTTTAAGGACTGGAGTGGATTCACATGTTTAGTAATCAGTATAAGTAGAACACACATGACATATACCAAATTCCATTTTAGGAATAACCATTGACCTGTTGGAACTAGACATCGATTCCAAACTTGCTCCAAAATAGTTTTAATGGATATTCAAAACCCAACAGCTATAACTTTGGTGGTCCTTAATGCTGAAGCTACTAGGCTTGTGTCATGCACCATGCGACAAAGCCCAGATTAAGGTGGTGCAACATTTTATTCTTGGTGTGCTAGTTTTAGAAAGTACCAAATTCCCAATAGATACTAGCAAATTTTCATTCCTAATAGCTTCAAGAATCATAAGTATGAGTACCTGATCCCGAGACATTTGTGGTTTTAATTTTTGCTCTTCATAGTGAACTTCCAATGGCTGATATAAATGGGTGAAAAGTTAGCATTGATTAAGATCAAGTTCGGGTCAATCATAGGATATAGGACAGAAATAGGTTTAGATTGACCAATTTTGGTCATACGACCACGTTATTCCAAAATGACCAGAAATCAACCAAGAACAATATGATCAGCTGGAAATGAAATAGAAACCAATTGGACTCGACTAGGAACTAAGCAAAGTTGACATGATCAAACAACTATACCAACAGCTAAAATCATCTGCAAGTCAACAACATTAACTCAGCTGTTCTTAAATTCAAATTCATTTAATCAATTCAGAATCTCCTGATCCCACAAACAAATACTTTAACACCACAATAATATTCTTCAAGTTAATTCATGCCTCCTGAGGCTCCTCATAAATGTGTAACATTTTATGTAGAACTCGAATTTATTGGAATTTATATGAATTAATGCTGCATTAAACTAAAGACCAATGAACATCTGTACTCAATTCTCTATGATAGTCTTCATCCTAATATTCTCAATGACAAGTCTACATCATCAAATTCACTTAGGTCGCCTATTTGTGATAACAATTACTAATAAAGTCATATTAAAGTCAGAAAATGTTCTCTCACTAATGGCAAAGCTCAATATGCATGAGCTATGAGATGCAACAATTAACAACTCTGTATGAATGTTCGAGACTTTATTGCCACAGAACTCCATTATAGTATAATTGCACTTGTTACAGAAATCAGGTCGATGTTTCATATACCAGATACGAGGCAAGATAATAACAGATAAAGCGCGGTCATCCAAGTAACAGAAAGCAGGAAATCAAACCAAAGCAGATACGGAAAGGGCAGTAAGCCTGTGATTTCCAAGCACCAAAGATAGCAGATACAGAATCTTGTCAATCGGCCATCTGTTTGTTAAGTTTATTTCAATAACATAAGAAAAATGAGGACCGCATCATAGTTCGCCAAGCAATGACCATACCAGGAACATTTGCTGAAAATTAAAAATATTAATATCACAAGGGAGAGACACACCTCCTGCTCTATAGCCTCACCAACTTGGCATACAGCTTGAACTACACGAACACCCCCAGATTCACCGCCTGTCATCAGAAGACTCACCAGCTTGTGCATAGTGATCACTGCCACCATCTCTGCTGGAAGCTGACTGAAGTAATGCTGATATGAAAATTTATTTTTCGCCATAGACTGTCCCTGCTCTGCAACTATCTTGTCCCTGAATGGCTCAAACCAGCCCAAGAACAAGGATTTCATGTAGGGCAAGTTTGGGGCGAGCTTCCGCTCACACATATCCATCAGGAGTTCCTTGTACTCCTTTGCCGCCGTCTCCCAAGCTTCAGTCTCTATCTGTATTTGTCTTCGTCGTAGCATAGTATACTTCTCTGCACTCATTCCAGCCTTTATCTTCGGAAATTGCTGATTCCGCCGAAGCTTATTAAAACGTTTATCTTCCTTGCCTCCACTAATCTCAGCACTCAACTCCAGCAAGCGTTGCATCTCCTCAATCGTCGACGTATCTTCATCCGCATCAGTTGAAGAGACAGCTTCCGCAACGCTGGCAAAGCTCCTGGAATTTCTTGGGACCCCAGAAACCTCCATAATCAACGAATTCACGTGCCCTAATGTTTTTGGCAAGGACTCTCCCTTTTGCCAAAATCCAGCATCGAAGAGCCTAGTAACAAGGGGCGGCGTCGCCGGGTCCAAGATCCTACTTTTCTCGCACCAGATTGAATCTTGAAAACAACTAAGAAAGCCGGTTGTTGCAGGGAGTGGCGACGGGCGGTTGCTGGAGAGTCTGAGGTTCCGGGAGGCAGAGGACGCCGTCCTTGCGATGTTCCGCCACATTTCACTGCTGCGGAAAGACAGACTACGGTCGGGATCGAACAGAAACTTAGGGGACTGGAGAAGTTATACGTACGGATCTAAGGGTTGGAAGGAAGAAGGCGGCGCCACTACACATCAAAAGCTGGGTTCCGGGTGGGAAGAAAGAGGAGTCCTTGGCGTGGGGCGAGGACGACGACGAGAGGGTGAATAAAGAGAAGAACTCATGTGGTTCGACCGGCGGAGGAGCAGAAATGTTAGAGCTGGGAAGGCAGCGAGGGAGGTCGAAGTGGAGGCGCCGCCTTTAGCGAGACCAAAACCCTTCGCTAGAACCCTCGCCCTCCCCCTCTTATTGCTTCGTCCGTGGAGGAGATTTTTTTTTCCTTTTTCTTTTTTCTTTTTATTATAAAATAACCTTTTTGTTTTATTGTTTTACAGATACATCCTTCTACATTTTTTAAATATCATATTTACCTTTATATATATATATATGTTATATATATATATGTGTATATATATATATATGTGTGTATAAATATATATATATGTATATATATACATATATATATATATATATATATATATGTATACATATATATATATATATATATATATATATATATATATGTATACATATATATATAAATATATGTATATATATATATATATGTATACATATATATGTATATATATTATATATATGTATACATATATATATATATATAAT